AAATTGCTCAGAGCAACCTAAAACTGTCTGTACTAGTGTGGGTAGTACCAATGTGAAATTGCTGTGCTGAGTAGTCATATTACTACCTAAAATAAACAAGCAGAAACTGGATGTTTCAAGCAAGGGCCCTAGTAGTAACTAAGCAAGGGCCTTCGCTCCAAACATTGAGTTTCTGCTTGTTTATTTCAGGTTGTAATATATTACCACTCAGCACAGCAATTTCTCAGATCATGCAACCTGCTTATCAAAATTGCAATATTGCGGGACAAAATATTGCAATGTTGCACGCAAGAGAACACCCGGTTTGACTGTAGGAATGAAATGCTTCACTAACAGTTTGGAGAGGGTCTCAGAATTTTTTTTGCTTAGGTGTGGGGACGGAAAGGGGGGGCTTTGAGAATTCCATTTAAATTTTCTGCAGAGTTCCTCATCGAGCCCCCTGAGCAGTAAATAATCAGCTGCCGCCACTTAGTACAATTTAGTAGAATTTATAATTAGTACCATCATAGAATAGGAAATGAAGGCAACATATAGTAGTGGGCAAAGCATGCATAACCTCTCAATTTGATGACAGTTTAGTGTTTTAATACTGCCCAGAATACTGGTGATCAAAGTCAACATGCAAAATTTAAAATTTCACACTCGAGTTGCCCTTCTATTTCCTATTCTATGGTGCCAGCCTTTTGGTCAATTATTAATATTTTGTATATCAACATACCAGCTGTGAGCTGCTGACAACATGCTGTCATCAGCCATCACGTTTTGATATTTGACGAAATTTCAACAATTCCAGGGTTTATATATTTGTATTTAAGGCAATCTGCAATTCCACCACATATAGCTCCATTCAATATCGTTATATTAATGCTTTCCCCCTTTCAAACAGTGGGACAAATTCTTGTTTGCAGAATTTGCAGGTGAGTGATATTTAATAAACTGATTATTACCAATTTTACAATTTGCGCGCCGCAATTTTATATCGCCAATAATGTCGCCAAAATGTCGTGAAGGAAATTAGCCATTGCGAAAATTTGAAATTTCCATTCAAGATAATTTTCATTCATTACTGACTCAAGATAGACTTCTGCTAGTATTGTCTATTCCGTCCGAGCTCTGTCTGGCCCGTGTATATGTAAATATCTATAACCCCTTACGCCTAGCGATGTACGTAAATTTATATTATTCTTTTCAATATTTATTTACCGTAAATTTTGAGATAAGTTCAGGGGCATACAGCGCACTCAGATTTATATAAGTTAGCATGACATGATGACATAGAAAGTATTAAAAAACCAAAATATCGTCGAGTCATCAAACAATCGTTTAGTCAACCAACCAAGTAGAATCCCAATTCTCGATAACTGCCAGACAATTTCAGAATCACTAGGAAGCAAGTACTCTGATAGTGATGCGCAGTTCAGCAAAACTTAGCTATATAATCACAATCACTACACATATTTGATCAAAATAATATCTTGATTATTTAATATCGACACAAAATCACTTAATAATGTACGCAAGTGTGAATACTATGCCTTCAAAAATATTCACACAATATTCGAACGTATTCTAGGTGAGAATATGAGGTGCGTTTTATTCTAAGGTATTCACATCTGAATACTACTAATATTCCGAGGATATTCGCAGTGAATATCAGTGAATACGTGTGAATATTCATCATATTCAAATTGATATTCGCACGTATTCACATCTGAATACTTGGCTTTTCATGCAGTGCAAGGTTCCTGTCGGCGAGGGCAAGGTTCCCGGCGGTGAGGACAAGGTTTGTGGCGGTGAAGACAAGGTTCCTGGTGGTGAGGACAAGGTTCCTGGCAGCGAGGACAAGGTACCTGGTGTTGACAACAGAGGTTTCTGGCGGTGAGGCAAGGTTCCTGGCGGTAAGGACAAGTTTCATGGCGGTGAGGACAAGGTTCCTACTTGACGCTGAGGACGAGGTCCCTGGCGGTGAAGACATGGTTCCAGGCGGTGAGGACAAGGTTCCTGGCGGTGAGCACAAGGTTTCTGGCGGAGAGGACAAGGTTTCTGGCGGTGAGGGAAAGGTTCCTACCAGTGAGGACAAGGTGTCTGGCGGTGAAGACAAGGTGCATGACGGTCAGGACAAGGTTTTTGGCGGTGACAACAAGGTTCCTAGCGGTGAGGACAAGATTCATGGCGGTGAGGACAAGGTTCCTGGCGGTGAGGACAAAGTTCCTGGCGGTGAGGGCAAGGTTTTTCTGGCTGAGAGGACAAGGTTCCTGACGGTAAGAACAAGGTTCCTGGCGGCGAGGACAAGGTTCCTGGTGGTGAGGACAAGGTTCTTGGGGGTGAGGACAAGGTTCCTGACACTGAGGACAAGGTTCCTGTCGGCGAGGACAAAGTTCCTGGCGGTGAGGACAAGGTTCCTGGCGGTGAGGACAAGGTTCCTGGCGGTGAGGACTAGGTACCTGGCGGTGAGGCCAAGGTGCCTGACGCTGAGCACAAGGTTCCTGACACTGAGGACAAGGTTCCTGTCGGAGAGGACAAGGTTCCTGGCGGTGAGGACAAGGTTT